TTGGGCGAGATGGACTTCCAACGACTTTTTGACCCAAAGCAGGGTGGCAAGGTGATCTTATGGTTTGGGTGGTTGACCCAGGTTCTGGGTTCGATCCCTGACATTCTTGGCTAGACTATGTTGAGGAGGTGAAAGGAGAGGAATGGGCTCCACCATCCACTTCCGTGCCCTAGACACAATGGTCTAACAACCCACTGTCCCTACGGCCTTTATGACTATGACGAAAATCACAGCATTGCTTGTCTCCCACCAGGGAAGAATGGCCGTACGATGAGTACGTCCCGCCGTACTTGCCGAGGTTCCGGGACGGCTGGGCGCCCGCGCAGGTCGCCGACGAGATCAACCTGCCGATCCACCCGGACCTGCCGTCCGTGGGCGCCACTCACACGGCAAGGGTCGTCCCCAAGGCAGCGGAGAGCAGCATGGTAGGTGTTACATACAGAGATATCTGACGTTCAAAGAAATCCAATACAATTTAAAGGCGGCAAAGGGAAATAATTTGGATGATAAAATGTGTATATATAAATTTGCAATATTCACAGTTACCGCCATTTCTTTAACAGATTTTGCTATCATTTTATACTTAGAGAGTTTGAAATAGCCCCAAAGCAATCTACATGAGGAGTCCCTTTAGTTTTAGTACCAAATAGTGAGAACCAGCCTACGACACGAAACAAGCAACGGTTTTATGAAAGATAAATAGATACATAAAAGCTTTTTTCTGTTTCCTAACTTCAGCAACGAGCAGCGTCCCTCGACAGACTGGACCAGCTAGACGCCCAGCCTGAACAGTTACCAGTTAGTGAGCCGGTAAGTACCTGTTAAGTTGTGAAGTAGCGTCTGTACTTGTCCTAAACCCCTGTCACAAATAGCTGAATATAAGGCTTGATAAACTTGTCCTAAAAAAAGACCGTCCCTAAACTGGCTCCCGAAAAAGCCAGTATATTTTGCAATGGACCTGGACCATGATGACGACCAAATGGTCATCATGGCTGTCTTAGAAAATCTATAAGATGACGGTCTTATTGAGATCAATCATAAGTGTGTCATGCCATGGAAGACGCGCATATTACCGTAAGGCAAAACTTCATTTGGCAAGGTGTGACGAGACAAAAAGGAGAGAAAATGACCAGGAAGGGCCGTGCTTTCAGATCGTCTACAGGCGGACGGACAAGCGCCCCAGTCGGGCCGAGCATTTGCCTCTTCCCCCGGTCGAGAGGATTCGTCGCAGGAGAACATCAGAAGCCACAGAACGTTCTGGAAAGACTGAAAAGTTGATGTATCATGCGCCACCACCACCACAACCACCGCCGCCGCCCTCCAGCCCTCCCCCGCTACCACCGCCGTCACAGGCGCCGACGTTCCCGGCGAGTAGCGTTACGGAAAAGGTGCTCTCGGTGGTGGAACCCCACTTAGATGCAGTTGCCCGCAACACTCGCTTTTCCTTTCGCTTGCCTGCTGCTTTGCTGTCGTGGTTTTTGCGCCTGGGCACATCCTTGATGTGTAGCTGGAGCTCATGCACCTTTTTGTTGCTGCCGACTAACGCTGCCGATGCACGGTGTTGAGTAGCCCACCCAATAGTTTTGTTGGCGGTAAATACTTACATTTCATGATCGGTTAAGCTGTCTTTTGAATTAAATTTGCATGAGCATAGCATGGACGCCCATAAATAGCAGTGCACGCAAATATTCTGTTCGAACGACCGTTGGCTTTTCGTTACTTGAACATCAACCTGCTTGGAAAAGTGTTGTTTTTATCAATTTGTTTGGCTTTCTTAAATATTTTGTTGGTCATTTAAGATTTGTCGCCATTTGCTTGCTTGCTACTTCATATAGCAAATAGGATTTGAACATAAAATTGACGATGGTTGACTAGACCAAACAAAGTTGGACGATCTATGATTCTAGACTCGTAATATGCCTTTGTTTTGAACATATATGTAAATGGAAGCTTACCCTAGCTTACTACTTCTTTCAATTTCTGAACTGGCCGTTTTGCGTCGTCCAAAGTCGTTTAAGACGGTGATGACGATCATCAATTCGATCAGAAAAAGTATAAGGCCTTGCAAAAACTTTCGTTTTATAATGCTACAGGTGGTCCCTTCCCTATATCTCTATTAAGTGACATTCCATTGTCATTGACGTGCCCATCTTCTACAAAGCCTACATAATGGCATACATGACGATGACGGTGTCGTAGCATCAAGCCATTGCATTGCAGACCACTTTGGATACATCAATGTGGTAGATGCTTCGCTTTGAACGTAGTAGCGCTGAACAAACCTAAGAGCGTTTGGAAGCATGGCATAAGGGAACCTGTCCTTTTCCCAAGTAGACGACATATTTGTGTGAAATACTTCTTAGTTGCTAAATGTGTGTTGTGTCGTTTTATGTATACAGTCTACAGAGGAACATGTGTTTCAGTTTGAACAGAACGGCTACCGGATTGAGGATGACCAGACGTCGATGGCAACCACAAACACACAAAGGTTAGTACTGATTCTGATTATCTACCTGATAGACTATCTGATAGACTATCTGTCATAGTAAAACTCTTACATTTGTACAACACCTGTGAATGAGTTCATCAAGACCATGTCCAGGATAAAAGATACAAAAACCGGAGTTCTGTTTCAGCACCAAGGTCAGACATGATGACCTTCTTTGTCTGCCTACATACCAAATATCACCAGAATCCATAAATGACCTCTACATACCATATATCATCACAATCCATTAAGGCCTTCTACATATCAAATATCATTAAGGCTTTGTACATACCAAATATCATCACATGCACAATACATTAAGGCCTTCTACATATCAAATATCATTAAGGCCTTGTACATACCAAATATCATCACAATCTATGAATACCTTCTACATACCAAATGTCATCAAAACCCATAAATGCCCTCTCAAGTCAAGTCAATTAAATTAAACTGACCACGAATATGTGGAAACACACGCACACAGTCACACCAATTCCAAAGAATACCATGTTTTCATGTAGGTAACAAATATTTGCTCACCGTGCCCAGGTATCGCTCGGTCTCCGCGTCCCGACAAGGTTCCCGCCACGGTACCCGCGGGCCCCACTGTAAGGCCCGGGTGTCGTTTGACGCGCGCAACTCCCACGAGCTCAGCATCGTCAAGGGGGAGAAGTTAGAGATCAGGGACGCCTCACGGCAGCGGTGGTGGCGCGTACGGAACAGGGCAGGGGACGAGGGCTTCGTCCCGTCAAGTTTCATCGACCTAGGAGATGGGGTAAACATTGTTCTGTAACTTATTGTTACGTCAAACGAAGAGTAGACATTCATGTAGCGAGATGTAAAGGAACTTGTTACCCCAGCAACTGGATAGATTTTGAAGACTCTCGAAATCTATCCAGTTTTCAAAATCTATCCAGTTATCTTTTTCTTGTTTGCTATATCGATAATTAGTCGTGAATTTGTGAACTCTGAATTGTACGTTAACTTTGTGCACTGGCTATATATAATCAATGGTATGACAGGTTCTCCCTAATTCCATGTCAACATGATATACTAGAAGTAAAAGTATACAGATTGATTGCTGTAAAACATATCATCACTCATAGCATGTTTGGAAGAAGTATTATCTCAGAAGAGTGGTTCGTACTTCTCAGCTCAAGTTTAAACTTGTGCTTGCAAAAATAGTCTGCATATTAGTAGGAGTGCTTTACAGCAAAAGCAGTCGTAGCTTTGATTTTAATATTGTATATGATTTATCAATATCTTGCATATGACCTGTGCAAACATAAACATTTCTAACATGAACACGTAGAATATGAACACGTAAAACATATAACATATGCTACTTGCCTTGGACACTTTTTCCCCACTTTCCGTTGAAAAGACGAGTAGGGCCGCCAGCGTAGCGAGCAGTGTACGGGCGCGGTCCAGTCACGGTCGGAGCCGCAGTCGGAGCCGGAGCCGTAAGCGGGCCCCGTCCGTGCCCCGTGAGGCGGTGGGGACGTACTCAGTCCCACCGTCCGAAGCAGGTACTAACGGTCGTCCCTGTACATTTATCCAGAACCGTGCTTTATCCAGAACCATGCTCGGGCAAGGTTCTGGACAGTCCAAGCGTATCCAGAACCGTGCCTGGGGCAAATCTACGTTCTTGGATACACGGGGACTATCCAGAACCGTGCCTGACTCCAACACTAACCCGTTCAGGTATGGGACTAGACAGGCACGGTTCTGGATACAATGGTCCCCATCTACAACCACTCATCCACTGACCAGTCATAACTACCACCCTGTGGTCCACGGTGGTCCCGATGCTTCTCCTTTGCGGTGCTTGCAGCAACCTCGTGTTTGGTATTAACTCAACCATGCACCAATACGCACACGGAAGCGACCAATTGCAAACATACAAAACTACAATTCATAGTTGCACGTGCGATGCACTATTTCACGGTGATGCAGAGACAGCAGTGTTGTCATGCACATCCACGCACCAACCCGTTAAAAATATCTCTAACCACACGACTCTACAAAACGCAAGCAGGCAACACCGTATGGAGAGGCACAAGACCACTTGGTTCCTCTAACACAAATAGTTACATTACAGAAGGTAGTTGGTGGCAAGGGAGGCAAGGTGCTTTTGCTAGAGGTTCAAAGGTAGCGTGGTGAACGTTTGTAGGGGTCGCCCTGCTGCCATCTTTGTTTTCTGTCCTTACGAATGCATTTCTTACCCGTACCGCAAGAAGCCCTCAGTGTACGATCCCGAAGACGACGCAAAAGCGGGGATAAACGGTCGAGATCACGGTCGGAAGGGAAGAGACGATCACGGTCGTCGAAATCACGTTCTGGATCGCGACGCAGATCGAGGAGCAGGAGCAGGGGGACTCAGGTTGACGAGCCAGGTATCGCCAAGTCCTTCCGAGAGCTACAATCTCTCGGTGTAGACTTTTGACGCCTTGACTGTACTAACAACGCTTTCCAAACTAACAGCAGCTTTGCAATATTGCAACTAGCTTTGCGCCAGTTGGTGACTAGTCTTAGGGTCCGGTCAATACGTCGTAAGATTGCCTTACGATTAGAAACTGCTGGCATTCTTGCAATGGTTGTGCATGTACCCTGCAAAATTCAGCTGCCTTTTGCATCAAAGGCTATATATTAGGCCCCATTCTCAAAGCCGGATCAAAGCGAATCAATTCGACTCGATCTGGACAATTTCATCCTAGTGGGAATGGGACCTATGATCCTATTCGAGGGTTGGTTCTGTCGCAACTCGCTTGACAGTAGATCCTACAACAAAATGGTACGACGACTTTACGACGAATATGACCACGCCGCTAGTAGCAGCAACAGATACGTAGAGATAGAGGGTTGCTTGATGGCATTGGTGTAAATTGGAATGACGCCAATCAATCATTTCACAATCAAATGATACACCTTAACAAGAAAACAATCATATCTAGATAATACTACCAGATTGAAGACGTATTTATGGAGGGAATTTCAGCGTTTACCATAATGCCATTGAAAACCCCATTCAACCTGTGTCTTAGCTATTTTTTTTGCCGTGTGCTTTATGATTTTGTTGGGGGATGTTTAGAACAGTGTAGTAGTAGCATTTCTATATTTGTGTTATCTTTACATTCTGTATACCCTAATGTAACATGATAACTTTATGTAACATTATTAATATGATAACATATACATTTAGATATACCTTCATTAGACGGCTATGGGACAAAATGTTGCAGTAATAGTCCGACATTTACTGATCCTTAAACCTAACCCTCAAAGGCCCTACATCGTAACACTGATGCTAATTTCTTAACACATCAATATCTTTAGCAACTTATGTTTAACACACATATATCTATTCTTACGTCCTATCCCTCCAGGACCAGTGACGCATGATGACGATGATGATGAGGGCCTGACGTATGACTCCTCCCCGGATGACGTGCGGCTGTGGCTGAAGAAGAACGGCTTCAGTCGTAACGCTATGGACTACCTCGGAGTTCTGACGGGCACGCAGCTCTTCAGCCTCACCAAGGCGGAGCTGCAGCTGGTGTGCGGGGAGGAAGGCGGGAAGGTGTATGAAGCCATGACACACGTCAAGTCTAAAATACAGGGTGGCAAGACTAGACATTAAAGTTTTCTCGCCTTTATCTATTTTATTAGGTAGCCTGGGTGCCAGACCCACAGCACACTAGGCTCAAAGTTTTCCAGTGTTTAGTGTGCTGCCCCGGTATCCAGGCTAAGTCCCTGTCACACATTCAGGACTTTCCCAGACCTTATCCACGACCACCAGCCAAGGTTGGCTGAAGTTCGAGAACATTCTGATCATATTAAGGCCACCCCTACCTTTTCATACGAATTGAAAGCAAATTTGAGTAAATTTTAGTCAAATTTGACCCCCAAACACTGCTGACCTACTCCCGATAGCCGAAGACCAGCCAACCACCAGCCAACCATGGTCGAACCTCCCATCCACACCCAAATGTTGTAAATAGTTTAAAAGCCGAACAGTAGTCGACTTTGCCGAGCACCAACCGACCGACGACGTTTTATTGAGGTTATATTCGGCTTTGTGTGACAGGGGCTTAAAGGCATCCAATGCAGTTTTTGGAGCTTGGAAATCCGGGGTTTTTTAGTCAGTATTGTAGTCACTTATCTACACACAACACACTGAGCAAAAATTCCCAAGATTCTGATGGCAAATGGTTACTGGAAGGGTCCTTGGCTGATTTTTAGGGTACCACCCAGAAAATAAAGGACTCATCTTGGGGCTTGTTTCTGCAGTTTTAAATACCTTAAGTATGAAATACTGATGAAAATGTGCTAATGTGAAGCTGCAGTATGTGTCAATATCACAATGATTGCCTTACTCATAACATTTCTAGTTTTGCTGCCCTGAAATCACATTGGATGCCTTTAAGCCCCTGTCACACATTCAAGACCATCCCCTGACCTTACCCCCGACCATCAGCCAACCAAGGTCGGCTGAAGTTGGGAGCATTCTGATCATATTCAGGCCACCCCTACCTTCCTGTCTATAAGAATTAAAATCAAATTTTAGTTAAATTTGAGTCAAATTTGACCCCCAAATACTGCTGACTCACTCCCGACAAGCCAACAACCAACCATCCGCACCCGAATGTTGTAAATAGTTTAAAACATTCGGCTGGAGCAGCCGAGCAGTAGTCAACATCGCCGAACACCAACCGACCTTGCTCCCAATGTACACCTATGCATGGTTGTGGGAAGTTCCGCAAGTCTATTGGAGGTCATATTCGGCTATGTGTGACGGGGCTTAACCTGCATAATAGTTTACCTGTCAGTGAGCTAGTAGAATATGGTTACCGTTTGAATAGTTTCTTAGCATCTTTGTTGTCAGTAACGTTATTTTCTATAATTCTATGCACTGTATTCGTATATAGACCAGCAAGAGCATGCATTACGTTTCAGGTTGTAGCTATATATTCTATGTTGATTCACTGTTGAATAATTACCTGCGTTGGACCGTACGTAGTTCATTTTGTAAATTTATGATCGATTCTGAAGCCATGTGTAACAAACTACTGACGTTAGCGTTTATTGTATTAATTACTATATCTGTCTTTTGCTAAAGAAGGCATATAATATGGAAAGGGTGGTGTAAAGGGATTGTTATGGGATTACTATCAAACGTTTTATTTATGTGTAACTTATGATATTAAAGTAGAAGTGGCACAGTGACTATAATTTTGTGACCGAAGTATGTTGTAATTGAAGAATGGAATATATTGACTTGACCACAACAGCAAAGTAAAACAGATATTTTCACAAACAACGACGATAGCGTTCGTAGAAAAAAAAAGCTTTGTACAGACACACGCGTTACTACGTTATGTTTTCTACTTCCACATTTTTTAACATACAAAAAAACTTGAATAATGGTATGGGGTCAATAAAATGTACATATCAACGACATCACGATAATTTCTTGTGGGTTTGAAATTATTTAGAAAGTGTAATGTAACGAAAGATGTACCATTTTGAACATCACACAAATGTATTCACTGGAATTATTCTAGAATACTTGAAGGTTCCAAAGTTCTTGGCCATACTTTACATACACTATACGACCATAGCACAGTGCCATTTACCTTCAATGTTTTGACATGTATTATATAATAAAATGGGTCAAATTGTACGCGTAAAGGTGTCATCAAAACCACCCTCTTTATTTTGATATTACTCTATTCTCTGACGCTAAACTGAATGTTGTCTGGTATTTCATTGTTTTAGTTTAGTTATGTAAATGACTGAGAGACCAGTACACTAACAACATATTGTATACTCCAAATGAATCATATCGATAAATCTTATTTATGACTTAATAATTAATTGGTGACATATTATGGAAAACTTTGGCCGAATCACGTCTTCCTGTACAAAACCAGCATTGCACTTTTGCATGGACTATATAATATCCTACACTTGTTTTTAGACATATTAAAAAAGGAAGCAATTTTGTAATGATTAAGAATTTCCATCTCAGAATTTTTTATCAGCTATCATCATTTAATAATCATTGACTGTATAATATCTTACACTGTAGCTATTTACTTGATACTTACAGTAGCTATACAAATGATTCAGACATTAAAACATTGCAATTTTTTCATAAATTTATACAATACTTCCTGTTTAAATATATACCTCTCCTGTAAAATCTGCAAACTGATGTGTACTATCGTTTTTATTTGGTGTAAAATTGTTTTTCTTCAAACGTGGCCAATATCAGAATCTCTACAAAAATGTGGCTTGATCGGTAGTAATTTTTTGTATTATACTGTGGTCTTAGTGCTGAAAAAAGCACTTACTGTTTAGGTTATTATTCCTTTATTTGCTCTTTAATAGCATCCACAGGTTAGACCTGAGTTTTGAAAGAAGGAAATCATTTATTTTTTGCATTTGCACATATATAGTGCATTATGCATTAACTGCTGATACCAACTACACACAAGTCTTCAGTGTATATGTATGTATGCACCCTCTTTTGTTAAAACAAACAAACAACAAAATCATCTTCCTTTAGTTTTTGTGAAGCTACTAGTTGTCCTCACTCAGTAAGTCGTCGCTGCTGTCTTGTCCTCGCTTCTTAAGCTTCTCCATCTTCTTTTCTCTCTTCTTGATCAACTTAAGTTTGAGCCTGTCCTCTTCCTCGTCACTGTCCCTTCGCCGGATGTGACGTAACAGGCAGCAGCTCAGAGTGAACCCAACGCCCTATGGGTAAACCAACAATTTCCCATGTTACATTTCGGGTGAGAGGAATACAGTTCATTCTTAAACATACCATTTCAGAGCTTAGTCTGTATTACATATTCTGAAGTACGAAAACGACTGTCACGTTGCGAAATAACAATTTGATAACTAGAAAGGTAACATTTGCAAAGCAAATGCATAATGTTTACCCTAGCATATGGTCTGCTCTGTTAATTCTTACTCAAACACATTCACATACATGTATATGGTGACAGGAGTCTAAATCTCTGTTGCTATAAAATTGCAACATGATGTAAATGTTGAAATTGCAGGAGAAAATCTTTGCTTAGTCAACTTGTATTCCCCTAATGACATTACTGAGCAGGAATCTTTCTTTCGGGACGTAAACCACAAAATTAAGATAAATACTGAGTTAAAAATGATAATTGCAGGAGATTTCAACTGTCCTCTCAATTGTAAGGACAAATCTGGCGGTCGTCCAGTACAAGAAAAAGACAAGATAATACAGAGCATAAACCTTTTGATGAAAGCAAATGACCTAATAGATATTTGGCGTGAAAAAAACCCTAGTGAGAGGCAATACACTTGGCGAGATGTCAACAAAGGAATCATGTGCCGTTTAGACTTCATTCTTGTATCAAATAATCTTAAACCAAGATGTGATAGTGTGACCATAGTAGATGCCCCCTCTCCCGACCATTCAGCAGTTAAAATGTATTTGCAACCAGAACTGTTTGTAAAAAGAGGGCCAGGTTTCTGGCGATTTAATAATACATTGCTTAATGACACTGAGTATGTAAAATCTATGAAGCTTAAAATCGACGAGACTAAGGTAAAATACTCTTACGTTGAAGATATACAACTTTTGTGGGATCTGATTAAGATGGAAATAAGGTCTTATACAATATACTACTCCAAACAAAAGGCTAAAGAAAGGAAAAAAGAAGAACAAAAGGCAGAAGCAGAGACAAATAAGTACCTAAGAAGTTACGAAACAGAATCAAATAAAGACACATGGCTTAAATATAGTTTAGCCAAAGAAAAGTTAGAAAAAATTAGACAATTAAAAGTCAAAGGGTCCATCATTAGAAGCCGGACCCGATGGCATGAAGAAGGAGAAAAAAGTACAAAATATTTCCTAAACCTGGAAAAACGCAACTACGATCTGAAATGTATTAACGAATTGATGACAGAAAATAATATACTCATTACAGATCCGCGTGAGATTTTGGAGGAAGAAAAAAATTCTTCAAATCATTGTACACATCAAAACAAACAAATCCAAATGAAGCCGTATTTGACCAATTTTTCTCAAATAATGAAACGAACAAACTTTTACCTGATCAACAAGAAAAGTGTGAAGGTAATATATCCTTACTTGAGGCCCACTCTGCATTAAAAAAGATGGCAGAAAAGAAAAATAGGACACCAGGGACGGACGGCCTGACTTTTGAATTTCTCCTGCATTTTTGGGATAATATCAATGGTGAGATGGTCAGTTCGTTTAATGCAGCGTTGGAAAAAGGGGAACTGTCAACATCTCAGAAACGTGGTATCATAAGACTTATACCTAAAAATGGTGACACAAGGAAACTTGAGAACTGGAGACCTATATCATTATTAAACTGCGACTATAAAATCCTCACTAAATGTCTTGCTAAGCGGATAGAACCCATCCTACCACACTTAATACATGAAGATCAAACTGGGTATGTTAAGGGGAGATATATAGGAACTAATGTTAGACGTATTTGGGACATTATACATGGCACAGAAATGGCACAGTCCAAAGGCATAGCTTTATTCGTCGACTTTTGAAAAGCTTTTGATTCGCTTGAATGGAATTACCTAGATAAAACACTACAGACCTTTAATTTCGGCCCAGGGTTCAGAAAATGGATGTCGGTACTGTATAAAAACGCTTGTAGCTGTGTTATAAATAATGGCTTTATTTCTGAATGGTTTAGTCTTGAAAGAGGAGTAAGACAGGGAGACCCCCTTTCGGGCCTACTCTTCATAATAGGACTTGAACCACTCGCCAATAAAATTCGATCAGATGAAAGAATTGGCGGAATTATCATAAGCAAGCAGCTAACAAAAAACCTAATGTACGCTGACGACACCACAATCTTGACAAATGGAGTTGAGTCAGCGAAAAATGCTCTGTCAGTCTTAGAAACGTTTGAATATTGCTCAGGACTTCAAGTTAGTAAGAAAAAACAGAAGCCATGTGGCTGGGTACAAATAAGGACAGAAAGGACACACCTCTAGGTGTCCACTGGCCAAGCAAGCCAATCAAATGTCTTGGGGTCCATTTCTCCTATGACAGAAAGAAATGCGAAGAACTGGACTTTGATGAAAAGTTGAAGAAAATGAGAAACTTGTTAAATATTTGGTCAGGAAGAGATTTAACTTTAATAGGAAAAATCCTCGTATTTAAGTCACTAGCTGTATCCAAACTAATATATAATTGTCAGTACTCAAAGCCCCAGAAGACTTTGATAAGAAAGTCAATTCAATAGGACTGAAGTTTATATGGATAACAAATCACCAAAAGGTCAAGTTGTCAACCCTAATGGGAAACAGGGAACAAGGTGGCTTAAATATGATGAATTTTACTTGCATGTTAAAGGCACTGAACGCCAGCTGGATAAAGAGAATATACACAACAAATGTATTAGAATATCACTTCCACTGCTTTGGGGGAACTTTTTTATTTAAGTGCAATTTCTCAGTTAAAGCATTGAATGTTAAGAACATGCCTTCTTTTTATGTAAGCATGTTAGAAGCATGGGAGGAGTTAAATTCACACCGCCCACAAACTAAGGAGGAAATAAGACATGAATTTCTTTGGAACAATCAATACATAGTACAAAACTGTAAATCGATTTTCTGGAAAAAAGTTGTTTGAAGAGGGAATAAAAACAATTCAGGACATAGCCGATGAACATGGTAACATTTTAACTCCTGAAGATTTAAGAAAAAAATATTCAATTTCCTTGAATGCATCAGAGCTCCTAAGATATTATGGGCTGCGTGAATCCATCCCCACGAGTTGGAAAACGACCTTGAAAGAGCCTGACAGTATGTCTGTATGTAATATTAACGAACTAACACAGGAAATAGACATACAGAAAGTAACAAACAAAATCTTGTATAAGAAATATGTAGCAAGACTGTATGTCCCTCCAACAAATGTACATAATTTAGAAGAGATCTTTCAAGGGGATGTAATTCCTCGACTTTTCTTCGCCCCAAGTCGACTAGTTGAGACGAAACTGCAAAACTTTATGTTTTAAGATATTACATAACTTCTTGACAACAAAAATGTGGTTGTATAAAAGGAAAATAGGCGAATCAGGATTATGCCAACATTGTAATACAGAACAAACTATAATGCACCTGCTTTATCAATGCAAGTACGCACAACGAATTTGGGTTGAATTCTTTAAGTGGTGGAAAATTGTACGAAATAGTGTATGGTAGTGTCGATATGTCGAACAAAATGTACTTCTGTGTTACTGATATTAAGTTTTATTTATATAAGATGTACATTAAGGATTTACTTCATTTTACTAGCTTCGAAGAGTGTAAGACTAGATTTAAAGCAATTCACTTCTGATTTTATGATGATTGTAAATACGGGGGGTAACTGATGGTGTGGGCGTCTCAGGTTGTTTTTTAATATGCTAACATTGATCATGTATGTATAGTATTTGTATTTTTATACTGTAAACCTTTGTATGTGTCACACTGTATGTAATGTTTTCTGTATTTTTGTCAATAAAGTGTTAAATAATAAAAAAAAAACATGATGTAACCCGACACCAGTTACCATGGCGCCAGCCGTCTGGTTCCAGGTCATTGATTGACCTTTGGAGAAGAAGAGGAAGAAGAGGAAACTGAGCAAATACAATATGTTTTCCTTCGGTAAACATAATTCAGCATAAATACAAACCTCGAGAAAGATCACCACTGACCCTGCCCCTATTATCTGCAGTAGATGGCCGTTCAGTATATCAGCTACCCTCTTGGAGCAGCCCTGGAAAAGTAAATAGAATTAAATTCAAACCTCAAAACGGAAGAAAGCTAAAAACAGTAGGCTTGTTAACTACACAGCCTCTTTACTACTAGACCTTGTCTAAAGTGTTTTGTGTTTATTACTCCGTGAAGGAGGTCAGGACCTCCGGACGGAGTGTTGTAATCGGCTGATTTTTCATGTTCGCAGTCAAAACACTGGGTTCTCTTTGTGTAATCGGCACGCAATTTTATACGCCGTCTGCGGGCATGCCCGTGTTGATGCACGAATGTGTATTTTTGCCGTTGCTGCTTTCGCGGTCAATGTAATATCGCAGACGCACCCCTACAATTACGAGGCGAATTAGAATGGTCCAGAAAAACGCGTTGTTTGGAATAGCAGTGGGGTTCAAAAAAGTTCATGCAGATACGGGGTGGTTTTTATAAGTGGTTCCAGATGTTTTTGCCCATGGTTAAGAGATGCCAAGTTTTTTGGAAGATGTTCGCAGCCAAAACGCATTCTTCCGTACGTCGCATTTCTGTGTAATTTCGCATGTGGTGTTGCATTATGTCCGGGATGATGCACGTCTTTTTATTTTTACCGTAGCTGTTTTGATATTGGAGTAAATGCTTATTTTCGAAACATCCCCATTTCTTTGAAATGGTTTCGTCCGTTTATGCAACTGTTACTGCGCTAATGACGACCAGTCGCGCTGTCCTGATACACCGCGAATGTGCGAGTGTTCCCTGTAGACAGTCCCGGGAGTCATTTTTTTGCACATTCCAGGAGCCAAACCAAAATACGTTCATGAACCGAGTCCAAAAAACCGAAACGTGAAAATCGGATGATCGGACCTGATGTACATTTCCCTTTCTATAGATTGTACACACAATACACACATCTTTAGATAATCTGGCCATGGCAGGTTAAAAAAAAGTAACCCTGAATCATACTAGATTAGCGTAAATGCATGTTAATGCGTTCAAAACAAGAAAAAAATTGTTTCCGGGTATTAATCTCTTGAATCACGGCGCTGAATATTGACGCAAAAATATTTCGGGCATCGCGCGCCCTTCCCGCGTCACGTGTAGGCATCTCGCATCTCTGATTGGTTGTTGCGTCTTAAGATGACTGAGCCGACGCGCGTTTAAACAATTTTTCTTTGTTCGATTTATCACACTTCACAGAGAATTGTCGCCAATGGCTACTTCTTTTTGTTGCAATATATAATACTTCACGGAGAATTGTCGCCTATGGCTTCTTGTTTCCTGTTTTGCATTTGTCTGATTTGTAATAGACAATCAAACAACATTGCCGAAATTGAAGCTACTGTACAGATAGAAGATCAACAATCTCAGCCTGCAATTGCGGGAAATAAAGTAATATATTGAGCATAGCACTCCGATAGAACGTCTATCATTATATGTTGTGTCGTAACGTAGAATATATCTGTATATTTTTTGGAACAGGCAAAGTTCTGATGCAACATTCCCAACAAAACACGTGACAAAATCTGGGCGTTGCGTGACACAGTACGTTCTGTCTACGTGCTATGGCTACGACCTACCGTTGTGTGGATGGTACTGTTTCGCGCATTGACCTTCTTGCCGCAGGTGTCGTCAGGCTTGTTGATGTCGAACTTCTCCTTGGCGTCGCGACAGCACGAGCCCGGCACGTCCCCGGAGTGGGTGACGTTAGTCCCGTCAAACGGCACGCCGAACCAGTCCCGGTAACTCACGTCTCCGCAACATGAGATCTAGGGGGAGAATCAAGATACTTTATGTGTTTCCAGCCTATAAGAAGCGCAAAAATAAGTGTCCCGGACTAATTCTGGGTTAAAGTGTTGTTTTGGTACAATTACCCAGAATAGCGCATTTGAAGGCTTGAAACGTGTTTTTTAGGCGAAATTATACACCTTACCACATATAATGTACGGCAGCATTTGGGGCATTCTGTAACATTTTTTTGTATCTGTATAGCCGGTATAACCGCATTTCTGCGTAACACACCAGCTTTGCAGGCACGCGGCGCGGCGGCAGCTGGCTATATTACACCGATCGATTTGTACCCAAATTGAAATATTTCAATTGTAAAAAAATCTGTGTGACTGTTCTCTACCTCTGTTTTCAACATATTTGTGAAATTATCTCACATTACCAGCATGTAAGTTTGGCACCAAAACAGACCACACGAGGCGCACTCAGTTTGTGGTACCACCACAAAATACCAGAATGTAAACAGACATGGTTGACAGCTGTGTTTCCAACTTTTAACACACTCGTGAGGCATAATATTTTGGCACCTCCACTTCCTGAATGACACTTATTTGCAATATGGAGTAGGGTTGATTCTCTGTCTCTCATGTATGTACCTGCATTTGCAACTCGTCCATGACCTTGGACCTCTCAGCAGTCTTCTTGACATTGAGGATCCTTCCACCGAGAAAATCAGTCAGTTTCTGTCGGAGCTGAAAATGGACAAAATATTTTTACTCGTGGATGTCCAACAAAGCTAGGTACTCATTCTTACCCGGGTCAAATGAGGAAATAGGTGGGAAATGCCTTTCTCAAAGATACAACAGTGGGGACTGCGAGGGATTCGAACTCAGAACCTTCAGATTCTGAGGAAACAACTCTAACTACCTCCCATACTCTACTAACTGCCGTATCTTTGATGTTGTGTTCAACTATATTCATCACACTGGAAGATTTGACCAATCTCAATAATGTTATGCTAGGTATTGGTGCGCCAGCCACTTTCATATTTATGTTTATGCTATATTTTATGTTATCTTTATGTTTACATTTGTAGTATGTTTTATGAGCAGCGGATTCACATAAGCACAACAAGTGCTCCCTATCTAATGCTAAAAAATACATGTGAATAAAATAAAAAATAAAATAAAAATAACCACAAGATGACATCGCCAGCACTTACCGTCCCGATAGACGTCAGAACAGCCAGGCTGACAGCTGCTGCCACAGACAGGACAAACAGACAGCCCAGTATCCCGGCAAACTGAACAGAACAAAAAAGTGGAAATGTTAAAGGCATTTAAGTGACAGGCGCAAAAACTAACTAGTTGAACTTTGAAATGAAGTAATAGAAACATAAATAAAAAACATTCAGAACCTTCCCACGACCGCCAACCAACCACGGTTGCGTGAGGTTTGATCAATCAGATCAGATGTAGGCAACGCGTACCTTTCTATACGAATCAAATCTTAGTTAAATTTGAGTCAAAGTTGACTCCAAACCACATGTAATCACAAGACGTGGTGACGGCACACTCAAGTTTTTTTCAACTTATATTAATGCCGCCACCAACACAGGGGACAATACAATACTCATTTTTACCTGAGTTAAGTGAGGAAAGTAATTATGGTTGGGTGGGGGGGGGGGCAGTGTTCGTATTTGACTATGTGTGACGGGGGCTTAGGCCACACTGATTTAATTTTATGGATGACATCCTCTGAAGACCCCCAAACTAGTGCGCGCGGGGAATAAAAAAACATTCCGGCCCAAAATAAAAATGCTACTAAGCCACAGGAATACAAAGCTGGTATTGTAAATTCGCGGCAGTACTTAGCGACGTACATACGACAAGACGGCACATGCTGGCTTTTTGCGGAATTTATGAATCGGTACTGAGTTCTTGAGTCGTGGAGCTTCGATAGCCTGGGTGCTCGGCTCCGTATTGTCGCTAACTACCATGGACTACCCAGGCCTAGAGCCAGGCCAGAGCCTCGGTGGACGTGATCTTTTTTTTTTTTGAGGGCGACAGGCGAAAATCAATGCGCGCGCGGATGTCATCCATAAAATTAAGTCGGTGTGGCCTTACATAACTATACTATAATTTATAGCATAATGGTCTATACTATACTATATTTTCATAGCAACTCACCGATAGCAGCAAGCAGCAGTTCTCTCTCACCACCCCTGCAATACCGACGATTCCCGTCAGGGTGACGAATATCCCGATCACGATGCAGAGGTTACGGGCAGAGACCAGGTCATGGTTGAGTTCCTCGAACTGACCCAAGTACTTATTGGCTACACCGGCCACGACCAGCATAGTGACTCCCGCAGCCTATGGGATCAAAGAACGATACGATTCACGATGTTAAAGGCATCCAATGTAGTTTCAGGGGACAAGAAATAGACAAGAAATATTCTGTATCTGTATCTAGACTGTGTCAGCCTTTTTAGCTTTCGTCCGCTTTAATACTAAGATAGAAGGCTGACACTCAGGCTAATCTGTATCAGTATAGCCGGTATATATTCTTAGTAACAGAAAAGATTTTAACTAATACACACGGTTTAAGGTTAAAGCGTACGTAAAGGCTCTCAGACTGCATAGACCATATCTTCCTTCGGCTAATGAGAAAGACTCTGGATCAAGATATCTGTCTGATATTGACATTCACTGCCATTTCTTGTCACATTTTCATCATCATTGATATACCTGACGGGTTTAGAATAGGCCAAAAACAAATTTGCCCAAAAATGTCTGTACAGAAAAAATTTCGACGTCTCTTTTGTGGAAGCTTAGTCACTTAGTCACACTAGTATCAAACGCAGTAACACAAGAACTATATGTACTGTCTTGCTTGGGTGATTTTGTGTTTGCATACATCTATGTAAATGTTTGTGTTGGCAGGTACATAAACATAGAAAAGATCTCTAGAAAAAACTAGTAATGTCTAATTCGGGTGTGCTGGAATTAATTTCAAGAGCATGCTAGCATACGTAATTAATCAACTATGGATCATCACAGAAAAATATTTTGCAAAAAAAAAACATAGTGGGGAAAATACACCTATTGCCCTTCTATGACGTACATGGCATGTATGAACCTTGACTATAAATACTACCCTTTGACAACAATTTACAGCAATGGGAGAGAACAAAGAAAAAGTAAACAAATTTCAGGTCAAGTACCACCATGCTACGGAACAGTGACCGTCTTAGCACGCCTGAGTACCGACATCTGAATACTGAAGAATGTTTCATGTTTGTATGCTCTGACAACAGTTTAACGGGATCGCTTCAAAAAGTAGGCTTTGCAAATCTCCAATCACATAAAAAGCAAGAAAATGCACAGGAAAATGATGAAATAATGAAAATAATACAATACTATGTTTCCTTTGATATCATAGAATTACGTTGGCCACATTTGCAGTGAACTAAAAATGAATACGTTTAAACTTACAAAAAAAATCTACAAACTTATAACATTGCTCCGAGCAAAGACTAGGGAGGAGAATTTATGTATTGTGTAGGGAGATAAGTAAGTAAGTAGGGTGGAAAGTTATAATTGTTATGAATGATTCAAAATTTGAGAAAAAAAATTATAGAAAAAAAAGACATCGACTGAATGCACAAATGTTGCAGTAGTCACCTTGAGAATAGACATTGCCTTTTTCGCTATCCTCATGTCTTCTCTTTCTAGCATGTATTAAGTAATTTTGACACAAAAATAATTAAGAAACAATTCAGAGAACCAACGGTACTTCGACACCCGATTCTTGGTATTTGTCTTTGTCATTCGGAGTATCATTTGGAGTAGCGCCAAGTCACGACAATTCAACATTGAATATGCATGTTTTCATGAATGAATGAATGATGATCAGAAGCTATCATACGTATCTATAAACCTTATACTTAGTCATAACTTGTTTCGACCTGTGTAACAAAATTAAGGTTCGCTTGAGTGGGAGGGCCTAGGGCTCAAGCCTCTTTCACAACAGCTGATGCATTCCAAAAACGGTATCAACTAGGTTTCTAGACACTTCTGTGTTCATGATCTTATGTTCAACTCTGATACAATTCAACGTACAATGATGTGAACATGGAACAGAAAAAGCAGTACTCACCAAAAACACCAGCAAGAAGCAAGCCAGCCCGCATTTGAAGCACACGATCGCAGCTTTGGTCTGCGTATCCGGCATGTACCCGGGCGCCATCTTGGACGACACAAGTTGACAATGTACTTCGTCTACCGACCCGCTTACAGCGAAGAGCTAAATCTGCATTCCTGTGCCAAAAATTCTCCAGTCGGTACAAAATGTCCTCTTCTCTTTTCCAGTGCGAAAATAGCAAATTCTTCGCGTTCTTTCAGAAGCAGCTTCTTAAAATTGGAAGGAAATGCCGGAGACTTGAGAGGGGTTGGTCTTACAGGTGTGTTTGCCTCACCTGTGATTTAAGGACACAGGTGACTTACGGCGATTTAAGGGAGGGGTAGTGAGGCGTGTGGCACGCTGAATGACGTCACTGTGAGGACTCGCAAGGCACGACACGTAGCCTCCACCAGGTCTTTCTACGGGAACACGGATCGTGCAAAAAAAGAGAGTAAAATTGGCCAAGGGTGTCCAGCCACGGGGAGGTAGTTTCTTTCCCTCCTCTGCGCGGCCAGTCAAACCTACAAGGCGGCCAAACTCCCCTGGCAAATATTCTCCTATACAATGTATATATAGCCAGCGTAGTTAGTCTGGTAGAAACTACACACGTCCTGTGGACCGTGCTCTGGATATTCCAGTGTAAATGGTGTTTGTCCTAGCGTGGCCGGGTACAACTAGAGATAATAGTTTCCTGTTATTTAGGGGAACTCTAGCGAGACGTCTAAATTCCCTCACGTAATGGGGCGACTGTAGCCTGGTTATCAGACCTATTTTAGTCCCCCATCCTCTCCTATATTTGCTGAGAGGATGTAGGACTCAGGGGCTATAATAGGGCTGGTAACAAGGCTAGGGCGACTGGTGCCCATAGCGGCCACCACTGTTTGAATAAAACCAACGTTAACAAACTATAGTATTCTACATCTTGTGCATCCTCCACCAGGCTTTTCTGCTGGATGGTAGAATTTGGAAAAAAAAAAGGAAAATAATTGGCCAAGAGAGTCAGTCCGCGGTAGGGTTAATTTCCCCATACGAACTGCGCGTGCAAATGAATTCTAGCTACGATGGCTATTAAAACTCCTCTGGCCAATTATTCTATCTTCCTTTTTAGCTAAATTCTACTGTTTTTCAACCCCGGTGTTAGTCTGTTGGTGACTGAGACAACCGTTGCCCATGGAGGCCAATACTTACTGTGTAAAAACAGGACAATAGATTCTACATCTTGTATTTTAAACCGTACCAGTTGATATTGTCTTCCACAAGGTATTTTGTTTGGATATGGTCTTGAGCCATTCAGGACTGATATATAGGCTAAGAAACAATACAATACAATAAAGTATGTGGACGTTGCTAACAATAAAAAAAAACATTTGATAAAGGTAGAGAGTGTACGAACCAGGATGGGGCCTGTTGTACTGTTTGTTATGTACACAGAGTGATATGGCCAGGGTTTTTTTCCAGTTTCAAATGTTGTCGAAATACATGAAAGACAGCATCTTATCTTATATGCCTTATAGTAGATTTGTTTGAAAGCATGTCGCAACGATGGCAATATACCACAAATGTGGTTCATTACCTCCATGAAAAATGGAGGTATTGTTTTTGGCGTGTCTGTCTGTATGTATGTCTGTGTGTGTGTCTGTGTGTGTGTCTGTGTGTGTTTCCGCAACTTTGTAGTCAGCATAACTTCAGAACGCCTTTATGGATTGTGATGATATTTGGTATGATGGTAAGTCTTGGAAAGACAAAGGTCAAGGTCAAGTATGGGCCTCCTGGTGGATGACCTTGGTACTGCAGCAGAACTTCCGGTTTCTGTATCTTTTGTCCTGAACAAGCTATGGTCTTGACTTTTTGGTGACAGATAGCTCCTTTTGTCAGGAATAAGTGGCATAAGTTTGGTCCCCCTAGCAGCTTGTTCTGGAACTGCAGGTTAGTTTCTGGTAAAAACTTTCAAAGCCAATAAGTCCAGATTGGAACAACATATTTTCATCATTTTTGGTGTGTAGGTACCTGAGAGACAGTTGTACATGATTAAATTCAAATTATGCAAATGATGACCTAATTTGCATAATTAATGAGGAAATTCTATAATTACAGTGTTTCATATAATGGTACTGCTATACATGTAATCTATTTAATCTGTGGCAGGCCGAACATCAACAGATACCACTTATGCAAATGATGACCTAATTTGCATAATTAATGTGAAAATTCTGTGAATCCTTATTGGTGAATGATGGGAATTTTTATACCTCGTAACATGTGTAAGTTACTTAAAGGTTTGCATCGTTATGCATATATTATGTTAATGTAGAGGTTATTTGCATAATTAATGAGGACAAAGCAAGCCCATATTTCATGGAGGTATGAGATCTCGGACCTCTTGTTAACACATGTATTTCTATACCAAGTTTATATCACTTCTTACATTTTCTGAAAAGTTTATGCATATCAAATACAGTAGCTAAGCATGATATACAATGTAAACTGATGCTCGGTTAGTTAGATATTCCTTTTTGAAAGGTAAGTCAGTTATTGACATTTGTGCCAAGATAACTTAGGTTGACTCAAACAACACACACAAATACACATACATAGCTACATGTATAAATCATATAATTTTGCAAGGACATCTCGTATCTTCTTTTGCATTGATATATTCCCCCCATACGTAACATTTCCTCTAACATTACAATTTACATGTATTAGACATGAACAAGCCACATACACACATCAGAAGCCACAGGTAAATATCTTGACATATCTGTTCATTATCTTCATTGCTGCATCCTAACACTGACTCACCTAAATGTAGACTTACGTCATGTGCCAGTTCTCCTCTGCCACTCGAAATACACTGGCAGCCCAGAGGCTTCTGTCTTGCTATTAGTCTAGGAGGAGATTCTCAGAAGAGGCCTAGAAAATGAGAAACGTAGCACACCCCTTACATAATTTGGCCAGTACCATAGAATGATACCCTAATGTCCCCTGATCATTTTAAGGTAAGTCGTACTATGGTCCAGGTGGGACATCATGGTTCTATGGCTCTTTTTGTTTTCCCAAAAAACGATTTCAATTAATTCTCTTGTTAGACAAATCAAGTTTTTCATAAAAAAAATTAATTTAAATTATTTTTACGGACTGTACAAGCCTCTAAACCCTTCCATTGCTATAGAAGTATATTTTCCTTAGCAACGGTTGCCATAGAAACACACTAGCCATTTCAAAAGTCAGAAAATGAACACTTTCCAGCTACTTGCGATATTCCCCAGGTTTGACGTCACTTGGACAAGTATTACTCAAATTATGCTGTTTTATTCTGTATTCATGGCTGGTTTGCTTAATTTGCATAAATTTGCATAAAGAGCCATAGAACCATGATGTCCCACCTGGACCATAGTACGACGCACCTTAAAATGATCAGGGGACATTAGGGTATCATTCTATGGTACTGGCCAAATTATGTAAGGGGTGTGCTATGACACGAGTTTTTTCAGGCTTCTCCTTCTGGACTATATAGCCTTCCCCATGTCATCAGCTTGCAGAATATTGTCTCTTTCAACACTATACATCACTGGTGCCATGTTGGATTATACAGTGTATCTCTGTTAAACACACCAACATGCTGCTGCTATAATACACTTACCTGCCAACATAGTCACCGGGAATTCAAATCACAATTATTATGGCGTCAGGAAAAAGCCTCTATACTTTATTAGTCCTTTCTGCATTTGGAGGATAGTGCTTTTTAATATCACAAAAACATTGATAACTATATATAAATGATTTGAAAGTTGATTCAATTCATAAGACCCATATTATATCTTTATACACCCCTTCTACATTAGTTAGCAGGATCATTAAATATGATAGAGGAATATGTTGATCTACATTGTATTTACAAACAAACTGAACAAAGAACTGAACCGAACAGAACTGAACAAGAACATTTTTCTCATTATAAATCTTGGTTACTTGCTGAAGGAATCAGATCTAAGAACCCTGGTGTCTCTCAGTGTCCGACGACTTCCCCAAGTCCTGCTGTCTTCCGAGCCTTCTGGATGAGCGCCCGGCACATGTACTGCTTTCTGGATAGCTCACGAACATGCTGAAATGAAAAAATGCGGTTCTTTAGTTTTTGCTCTGTACCTTATGCTAACATCATATAGGTCGAAAGATAGCATAAATGCAACATACATTGTATATGAATACAAAGTTTAACTAGAAAGGCAATATTAGCAAAGCAAATGCATAATGTTTACCTTCACATACATGTATAGTGACTGCTCTGTTAATTCTTACTCAAACACAGTAAGACAGTAGTCTAAATCCCTCCTGCTATATAAAAAATGACATAATCCAACACTAGTTACCATGGTGACAGACATCTGGTTCAGGTCATTGACCTTATTTGTTTGGAGAAGAGAGGAAGAAGGAACAGAGCAAAAACAATTTTTTTTTTCCTTCTGCGAAGGTAAACATAATCAAAACTAAATAGACATACATAAACTAGTAAGCCTCTGTAGATACTTGTTACTCATTATGGAAATGCAGTGAACTGTCACCTTCAGAAAGACCTCTAGGTCGATGACCCCCTTCCTGAGGGCCTCTCCCAGGTAATAGATGGTGTCTTCAATGGCATTTTCCTCAGCAAACAGGTTCACCAGCCTAGTGGGGAAGAAATGGCAGTGTTATGGGCTACAGGCCCTCAAGCTCCCCTAACACAAGGTGGCTCTTAACCCTCGTCCCGCTCACATTTTTTACACAAATTTTCAAATGATTTGAAGTCTTAATCAAGTCACAAACCCTTGACATTTTTTGCCCCGCAGCAGCAAAGTTACTTCTGCATTTGTTGCATTTTGCTGTGGTTTGATGTGTTGCACAAGAAACACCCCCAAATCGTACATATACAGGGCATTATATAGATGGTACTGTATGTGCAGGACAAGGGTCATCATATCCATTTTAAATTCACATAGTTCAGTCCTGACTATGATACACTAGGAGCGAGTAGAAACCTTACTACCGTGACGCCGGGAATCAAACCCACGGCAAACCGTGCAGCCAGCTTACGACACCAGCACACTAACCACTACTCCAAAAGGTCCAGGAGGCCCCTTTGACTTGGTCAGTTAGCGGCACTTGAACCCCACTGTTACAACTATTATAAGACACAAATTTGAGAAAATATTTTTAAATTCATTGTACAACAAATAAATTGTGGAGGGGATTCTTGGGATGGTGTTGAATGTGTTGTACAAAATTCATTCATTTTGTGACGAAAAGGTTGTCATACATGTAGATCTACCTCAACTGTCTAGTCCACCACACCCTTTATGAAACCCCTACAACAACAAAAATCACACAATGAATGCCTTAAATCAGTTAACTTGTTTTCCCTGACTTACTGTTTGTATAATGGTGCTGTGGTGACCACAGCTTCATCTATATCCACACTCTCTGACTGGCTCTCCATCTTTGCAATGACTTCCTTTATCTCTTCATCCTTCTGTTTCAGTAACTGAACATTCTTGTCCACTTCAACCTGAAAACAAAACAAGTTTGTCAAGAATGCAATACGTTGTAGTGAAAAATAAGCATGGACATTATTACAATTATCCAGAGTTTAAAAGTATAAAATGAACGTTAAATGGAGGTCCCGTGTGTGGGAGAGCCACACCCCATGCACGTTAAAGAACCCACCGCACTTATCGAAAAGAGTAGGGGATCTTCCCGGTGTGAGTGGTTCAAAAACCTTACAGTCCGGTCTTACGCAGCTTGTACATGTACGCACATGTACAAAACTGGTGTGTTACGCCTAAAGGCGGTTTACCGGTTATGCGAAACAAACAAACAAACAAACAAACAAAATATGAAGGCTATCTAATGATGATGCCCCTACGTACTGTACATGGTGGTAGCTAGTTCTATTCTAGATAGTTCTAGGAAAGAATGAGTTTTTGAACACCTCAATCCTTGGTTGATAACTCTGGTACTTAAATTTTAAGGCATGACTATGTCTTTTTTTTGAGCTGGTATTAGATACTTAGGCCACACCAATTTAATTTCTTGGTTAACGGATTCGGCACTTCATTTTTTTCTGATTTGCAAATAAAAATAAAAATTCAGAATCAACTGCAAAATGCTCAACTTTTGCCCTGAACAGTTGAAAACAGTCCATTTCTTACTACTTGTTACAGTCACTCCATATTTCAATGCAGTAGTATCATTAAATGTTCAAAATTGATTGTTTACATTTTGAACCAGCCTGGTGTGTTGACTTCATGGCTCCTATCGTACCATTTTGGGCCATAATAGGATGCCTAGGCCTGTTTTTATTTTTATTTTTATTTTGCCCGCCCGCTCCATTATTTTTCTAGACAAATCCGTTAACCAATAAATTAAATTGGTGTGGCCTTAGCACTTGGTACATCCACCAAAGAACTTACGCATTCTGTGCCCAGTTTCTGAATCATCTCATCCAGCTGTCTCTGCCCCTTCTTAAGGTCATCCTCTGTCCTCTTAAGGGCATCCATTTCAGCCTATAGGGGTGTGTGAGAATGATTATCAATAAAGGAATTTTGAGCACCTTTACAATTCCCCTTGTCACAATGGCCAACATAAAAATGATGGTAAAAAGTTTATTATGTTTATTAACAGCAAGCGTAATTCAACATGAAAAGATACATTGTACTAGTATCATGTATACAAATAAATGTATATTGTTCCGGTATATATTGTTGATATGATGATCTGGTCATGTCCACTGGAAGACAGAACTTTAAATTACATATCTAAGCCTACAAGCAACACACCACAATATATATGTACTTTGTCCATGTATATTGACCAAACATATTTTCATGTACAATGTAGTTCCATATCTGGTTGACAAAATATATATGAGGATATATCCTCATACACATGTACACATGTACCCACACTTTAACTATTATAACAATCCATACACTTGTGCAAAGATAGTTTATTGACAAATATTTACCTGAGCCTGTTGAAATGTTTCCCTCATCCTTCGGCGCAGTTTATCGTTAACAGCTGATAGCAGCGAGGCTCTGATGGTGTCTTCTGAGATCGAGGCCCGACTTTCAAGAGGAGGACGCTCGGAGCTGGCTAATGTTTAAATACAAAAAACAAACAGCAATGTTCAAGACTAACGTTATTTTTTCTGTAAAGCACAATGTCTTATCCTCAAACTTAACTTTTAGAATCAACTTCATTCAAACCTACCGAATAGCAAGAAGACCACTCATTGGACTGACAAAATCTCTAGATGTGGGCAGGTGGTCACTATAGACAAAATTCTTGTAATACTTGTAATAATGGAAAAAAATTATTTAACTTACGAGACCACAAAAACAATGGTCGTGGTCGCATTGGGCACCATATAGTTTTCTTTATGTAGAGGTGGTTTCTTGTACAGGTTGGACAGTATATATTCCTGCTATTTTTATATTTCAGTGACAACATGATATGGCTGAAATAAATTGTTTTTCCTGATATTTCTTCCCCTTCTTCTCCTATCATTTCCTTAAATGGATCCATTTCTCCATGCTTGGTATGTAGGTATAGTGGACAAATACCCCCAGTCGTTTTTCTTTTTTTTTTTCATTTACTTGATACAGACTTTTGAAACTGTTTTATTTTGCCTTTTTTGCTGTTTTATAGGAGATGTACTGTACAGGTGTGTGTTACCATATTTGGCAGTGTGACCATATTTGGGCATGCAGACAGGAGCAGGTGTGGTTCTGATTGCAGATATGGTTGCTGATTGGCTACATACTGTGACAGTGAGTGACTTACCGACAGGTGTAGTAGAAGTGACTGTGAGTGCTTTACAGGCAGGTGTAGTAGAAGTGACTGTGAGTGCTTTACAGGCAGGTGTAGTAGAAGTGACTGTGAGTGACTTACCGACAGGTGTACTAGAAGTGACTGTGAGTGACTTACCGACAGGTGTAGTAGAAGTTGCAGCCTGTTGGTAAGGTTGAGACAGGTACTGTGGATACCCCAGCTGACTACCGTACTGTGACAGTGAGTGACTTACCGACAGGTGTAGTAGAAGTTGCAGCCTGTTGGTAAGGTTGAGACAGGTACTGTGGATACCCCGGCTGGCTCCCGTACTGCTGCGACCCTGGATAACCCGCGGTGGTTGCCGTTGGATACGAGGACGGCCCGGCGGGATATCCCGCACTCGGCGGCTGGTACCCCCCGGTGCTGGGGGGGTAGGAAGGGTAGGGGGTACTGGTGGACCCCCCAGGCATGGATGGCATCGGCATGGAGTAACCACCTGAGAAAGGGTAGTGGTTAGGGAAGCAATCAACTTTGTGTTACAATATCATGCATCATTTAGAAACCATTCAGGTATTATCAAATATAAAACGAGTATTAGTTAATGCACAAAAGAAAATTGTAAATAAAATAATTCAATATAGTTATGTTGTGTTAACATTTGTGGTGAAATAAGATTATTAAAACAAGTTGAGTTACAAATTACATATCAAGCCATTTTAAGAATAAAGAGGCAAAGAGAAGAACACAATCATTTTAAAAGTTTGAATACATGTATTTTGATACTAGATATGAAAAAGTACTAGTATGCGTACATCATAGAAAAGAAAAAAACTCTACTACTACATATAATAATCAAAATATCATTCTGACACAAAATTCAAGCTATCATGTTGATGCAGATGTGAAAATTGGACCTTGGAAAAAGGTAACAGAGAGCAACAAACTATCAAAATATCAGTGCATAAGCCATATTACACATAGACTAGTTTTGGCTATGATACGAGTTAAAACCTACATGTATCAGTATCATGACATGAAATTTTATCTGTGTTGGTAGTTACATGTTTAAAGTTAAAACTGTTCATCTAACACTGGTCAAAAGCTTTAGGTGAGAAATATTCCTTGTGTTGGATCAAAAGTTTTAACTCTAAACAAGTTAAAACCTCCAGAGCAAACTTTTTTGTCCTGACTTGACATTGTTCCTTACCTCCAGGGGGTCCCACAGGGTAGGGTGTTTGGCCCGCTGCCATAGGGTAGGGTTGATGAGCAGGCTGCTGGCTGTGGGAGGCGGCTGACTTAGCGAACACAGGAGGCTCCTCCCCAAACACAATCCTCATCACCTCAATCAGACCAATCAGGTCTGACTTGGGCTGTGGAGGGTAAAAAAACAGTCAACATTTGTTTCTTCCTCACACAGCTTAGTTTTGAGCTATTTCAAATGCTTCAGGTATAAAATGATGATGAAAATGTGCTAAGGCCACACCAATTTAATTTCTTGGTTAACAGATTTTTCTAGAAAAATAATGGAGCGGGCGGGCGAAAAAAAAAATAAAATAAAAACAGGCCAAGGCATCCAATTATGGCCCAAAATGGTACGATAGGAGTCATGAAGTCAACACACCAGGCTGGTTCAAAATTTAAACAATGAGTTTTGAACTTTTAATGATACCATTGCATTGAAAGATGTAATACATGTAACTGTAACAACTAGGATGAAAAAGTCTGTTTTCAACTGTTCAGGGCAAAAAAATGAGCATTTTGCAGTTGGTTCTGGATTTTTATTTTTATTTGCAAATCAGAAAAAAATGAAGCGGCGAATCCGTTAACCAAGAAATTAAATTGGTGTGGCCTAAGATTAAAGAAATGGCAGTAACTGTCAAAGACATCTAATGCAGGTTTTCAGGGCAGCAAAACTGAATTTTCACAGTGAATTTTATAGTTGAATCCGATACTATTCTGTAGCATACTGATATCTGCAGACAAAAAATGCAATGTTGTTAACGGAAAATGGTTGCTTGTTTTGTATTGTTGGCTGGTTTATTGGCAATACCCAAGAAATAAAGAGATTCCTCACATACATGTGTGTAGCTTGTTTTGAGGCTATTTTAAATGCTTCAAGTATGAAATGATGGCAAAAATGTGCTAAGAAATGCTAGATTAATTTCCTCATCCAGAATATTTTTCTTGTTTTCTCCACTTCCACATTTGAATGTCACATTTCCATGCCAAAGTACGTCTGAACCCCCTAAAACCATGAATGGGTCGTTCCTTTACCTATTACCACCTATGTGGGGCACTCACATGTTTCCACTTGTGTAGGTAGGGCAGGTAGACTCTTCCGCTGCTGTTCACATGCTTGCCCTGAACCCCCTATAACCACAAATGGGTCCTTCCTTCACCTATTACCACCTATGTGGGACACTCACATGTTTCCACTCGTGTAGGTAGGGCAGGTAGACTCTCCCACTGCTGTCCACATGTTTGCCCTGAACCCCCTATGACCATGAATGGATCATTCCTTTACCTATTACCACCTATGTGGGACACTCACATGTTTCCACTCGTGTAGGTAGGGCAGGTAGACTCTCCCGCTGCTGTCAACGTTTGCCCTGAACCCCCTATGACCGTGAATGGGTCATTCCTACACCTATTACCACCTATGGCAAACATGTGGACACGAGTGGACACTCACATGTTTCCACTCGTGTAGGTAGGGCAGGTAGACTCTCCCGCTGCTGTCCACGTGTTTGCCCTGAACCCCCTATGACCATGAACGGATCATTCCTTCACCTATTACAAGTTATGGTGGACACTCACATGTTTCCACTCGTGTAGGTAGGGCAGGTAGACTCTTCCGCTGCTGTCCACATGTTTGCCCTGAACCCCCTATGATCATGAATGGATCCTTCCTTTACCTATTACCACCTATGTGGGACACTCACATGTTTCCACTCGTGTAGGTAGGGCAGGTAGACTCTCCCGCTGCTGTCCACATGTTAGCCCTGAACCCCCTATTACCGTGAATGGATCATTCCTTCACCTATTACCACCTATGATGGACACTCACATGTTTCCACTCGTGTAGGTAGGGCAGGTAGACTCTCCCGCTGCTGTCCACATGTTTGCCTGTTTTAATCTCCATGGTTGCAGTGGGTCGGACATAGCACAGGGGTGGGTTGAAGGGGTGGGTTTCCATCAGGTACATACACACCGGGATATTGTAGGTCGTACCTTAGAAAAGAAAAGCACAGTTAGTTAAACACATAACATAGAAGTTAGAACACAACATAAGTATAGAATCTTGCAAATCATGATGACATCCTTCCATGAATTCTGTCGCCAGTTAGTCCTATCAATATGGTCTTTAATTGGTCCCAAGTCCTTGCATAACAGTTTTTTTTTTCATATAATATGCTACGATATGCAGTTGTACAAATGTAAGTCTCCAAGCCCATGACATGTCACGGTTATCAACTTTGTTTTGTGATTTCTCCAAACCCCCAAAAAACACATCTGAAATATGCCTTTTGAAAGGATATGTAGAAGAAAAACTCACCCCTGTACTGTACTGGGATGGTTCCTTCCAGAGTCAGCAAGTCTTTTCTGCTGCCATCATTGAAAACTGAAACAAAACAGACACACAGTAAGAAATCATGCAAGGAAAATGTTACAGTTGGATACTTGTTGAAAACTGCGAGACATTTCAAGTAGCATCCTCTACTTTTTATCAGTTATCATTTAGAAATCTTGTTGATATTTTTGCAATCTTGGCATTTTTGCTGGCATTCACTGCCTAACGTATCATCAAGTGTCAGGGTGGCTTACTAAGTTATTGCATCATTTAAACATACACATAGAGAACAGAACTTACTGTGTGGTTGCAGATTAGGCTTCAGATCAGAATAGCTAGTGAAGACTTGAAGCACTTCTCTCTTTGTGACATCCTTGTTTTTGTACTGTACATTGGAACAAGAAGACAGCATACAATATATATCAATTACTATGAATTATGGTCCTTTCATACACAAATAAAACTGTACTCCAGTTTTTCTGGGCTCCTTTAAAATCCATATTTGCAAGAGACTGAGATTGATGTGAAAGCATGTTAAAAAATGTTACTTATAAGAACAGGGGGATGTGATAAAACTTTCTTGACATTTGTCATAGAAAAAAAATGAGATTGTCATGAATAATCGATATGTACAAGAACTTTCAGTCATGCAAGTTAGTTGGGTACTTAACTAAGATAGAATATGAATAGCCGTATGCTAGTTGGGCAGCCTTAGCTGTATAGTCTCCACCAGACTCCTTTGCAGGCTGAACAAGTAAAATCTGAGATTTTATACCTCCGGGATTTTTGTTGTATATTTTTATATAGGGTTTTAAACAAAGAATTTATCGAGACCGGACACCCCTCTGTGTGAGGGGTCATATACATGGACCAGACCGCGTATAGCTTAAACACAGCAAAGGTCAACGGTCGCGACCACTTTCACGCTCAAAGGGGTGTTTTGGGGCCACCAAAAGGCACCATTTTCACGCCCGAAAACACATATACAATAAAAACAAAAAAACGTGCATCATCTGCAGCCCAATAGCAAAACATATACCGAGTCTCAAAAGAATCCGTCCACCCAAACGCGAGAAACAGCTGCGAACATGAAAATCTAAATCTCTAACAAAACCCTTCCGTGGAAGGATGTCTCCTCCCCCGGAGGTAATAAATTAGTACAAATTGGCCTAAAAGGGATGTAACTGGCCAGGGGAGTTAAGCCAGCAGGCAAATTGCACCCTCTAAATATTTACTCAGCCTGCAAAGGAGTTTGGTGGAGACTAGTAGTATATTCAGCCAAGTAGCAAGCAAAAAGAGAGAATCAGGCATAACCAGGGTTAGCAGTTCAAAGGGGTATCTGTGATGCATTCCTTAAGACAATTAAGTATGGTACACCTTTCTGAAAGCCTTGTTCTGGGAGTGGCAGACAGGACAGGACAGGGCAGGACAGACGAAAGGAAAAGGACCAGGATTAATTTATGAAATCAGTCAGTGAAAAATCATACGCAAGTAGCAAATTATAGCTAGGGAAATGAATTTGTATAACAGAATGGTGGGGGTATGCATACATACATAGGTCCACATAATTTTTTACTCTTGATACAATGATCATGCAACATTAGGGAAATGTGGAGTCAAGCAAACAAGTTGAATTTTGATGGTGGAATCTTTGCAGAATTTAGCCTTGCTACAAGATGGCTGCACTGTGACATCACAAGATGGCGGCACCCATTGACCAAAGGTTAAAACTAAACATTTTTTTTCTTTGCAAAAACTATAAACACTGAACATTAAAAAAATTGCTGACATACCGTATGGCACTATTTACGTATTACTATAGCTACTTAAAATCTAAACATTTAACTGGTTAGAAGTAGACTTACAAGTATCACAGAGCCAGAAATTGTTCCAGTAGTGTACTTTTCAATACAGAAGAATTGCCTTATGTTCAAGGATATGTCATATTTCACATACAATTTGTACAACAATAAAGTGACCCATGGCCCATCTACATAACGAAACAAAGTCTTCCCCATGACAAAGTTATAACGTTACAGGGTGTACTAGAAGACATATTTTGTGTTATAATTTAAACTATATGTAAAATAGTAAACCTATATGCACCTACCTTGGCCAAACAGTTCTTCAGATACTGTTCGTAGTTTCCAGTAGCCATTTCTACAGCTTTTCCTTGAGTTTACTTTCTTACTTCCGAGCAAAAACGTCAATATGTGGGGAGGGGGGCGGTACTTCAACTAAAAAAATCTAATTTTATTTCCCGGCCCCGTGGACTACCGTCACACAAAGCCTGTGGATGTGAAAAACGGAAAATTTTAGGCTAAAGAACGGCTACTAAAAGAAATGAAGACGGAAACTACGACAAAATTTCCCCGCTGTCATCGTTTCGGAGTGACTCAGAGTCAGAAAAAAGACGTCATTGTGTTTGAACTTTGACATCAGGTATACCACAGTTCTTTGCGGTCTTGGCGTATCTCCAAGCAGATGTTGGGGTGGAAAATCGTGACGTTCAGTGCTAAGCTTCTGTGGGTCTTCTGTGGTTGTTGAGCTTTTCTAATAGCAACTAACCATACAGAGAACTTTGTGAATTTCCACCACAACATACACCATCTACTAAGTCATGGCATTCACAGAATGGAGGGATCCTTAAATGAGGGCCTGCATGCCCTTTTTCGTTAACCGTTATGGGCTATTTTAATTTACCGTTAATCGTTGCCGGCCCGCTCTAATTCAACGTTAAGCGTTATCGGTATATTCATCGTGAAGCGTTATTGGTCGTTTTAATTCAACGTAAAACGTTATTTGACATCCTAAATTCAGCGTTAAGCGTTAATGAATAATTCTTCGTTACGCCTAATTTTGCCTTTCAAGGTGCAGGAAAATGCGTCATTGAAGGTTTAAAAATACAAAATTTCCCGGGGGAGAATGCCCCCGGACCCCCTACATTGCTCGCGCCTTTGGCGCTCGACTCGCGCTTCTGCACTCGGTCTCTTCGGCTCAATTACCGGAAAACAAAAATCTTGAGTAAAAATATGAAAACATCAGAAGGACCGACAAACACTCTCAACACCATGATGTGGGAAATGTGGGAAATTGCGTTTTTGAAGGCTTAAAAATCCTAAATTTTTCGGGGGAGCATCCCCCAGACCCCCTCAGCTGGGTAGAGCCCTGGCCGACGTCGACTCGGACTCCCCTTTATTTGTGGACGCACTCGGGGACCAGGGCAGGTGGGAAACACAGGGAACACATACCTTTAATGCGTGCCTCATTACATGTAAGGTGTACGTAATTTTGTCAGTGATCACCTTTTCTCACAAAGCGAGATACCAAATCAAGTGCAGCTCGAAAAAAAGCCTGTCAATTTACCGTTAAGCGTTGCCGACCGTCCTAATACCGTTAAGCGTTATCGGCCCTGCTGAATTTACCGTTAACCGTTGTCAGGACCCCCCCCCCCATGCAGACCCTCTTAAATACTTGGACGTCAAATATAACTGTGATATGATATCTACGATACAACGAATCATAATCGGAACACAACTTCTCGTGGTTTCCCATTGAAATTATCATCAATATTCCGTTGGAAGGACTAAACGTACCATCACCGTCTTTGTGTTGTACTAAAGATAACCGCAAGAGGACGCTGTTACGTCACAACCATCAAATTTGCCATCAAACAAATGCGGGAGTGACACGGAAGACTTTCTGCAGAGTAGCTATCTCTATTGCCAAACGTTTGGAATGTATTGAAGTCTTTCACGTATTCCTCACACTTTCATTCCTAGAAGGCCACCAAACCATTAGTATATTGTGATCTGTTGTATGTATTATAGTGTTTCAGGGAACCTTGTTGCATCTATAGCCATTTCTTGTATTCACTTTGCAACCACTTGTTTCCCTTGAATATAATGGACGCTCCCCACATAATGGCCCTATCTACATGAAACAAACAGATATCTATTCCCTGATGGAGAGTCCTGAACGAATTTGAGTCGTTCCCTGATAAGACCTTCTGTCGTCCTCCCAATCAAGAACAGATGGCACGAAGACAGGAAAAGAACCCGGGCTCGCACAAAGCAGAGAAGCACTATTACCACCCAGCTTACCGCAGGGTCAAATAGTTTGTTTTTACTGACACAGAGGCAAGAAACAATACGCACATCTGTTGGGTACAATCTTAGGAGCCAGACCACCGACTTGGTGTAGCAACTTTTGAGCATATCTGTGGCTAATTTTTCAAGAAGTGATTTGGATTTGCTGGAAAACAGCGTACTGATTTTCGTTGGCCCAACATATAGACAGTTGTGACTGAGGACGAACAACCTGGGGTCATAGACTGTAGATTGGGGCAGAGAGCGGGTACAGTGCGGCCAGGATCTATAATGAAAGCCACCCCTTACTGAACATGCCAACCTAGACCGCCATGTTGCACCGCCACAAGGACACTTGAAGGACACGCGAGGATTGGCTTGGTTGCTGGGATGGCCGTCCGAGGGAGGTAAGTTGGCCCGCTGTCGTTGGAATTAGTCCAGTTTGTGCCCCTCAACCTCCTTATTGCCTGGCATATCGTCAGCTTTTTGATACTTTCTTCTCCGATAGAGCGACGCACGGATTTTACCCAGCTGTGTAGAGGGATGGAGAAGTGCGTCGAATTTCGACTTTCTCAGCCATGGCGCCCGCTGGGAGGTTCTAAACCTCTCAGAGTTCCGGTGACAAAACCACTTCATAATAGCTTCAACTGTCTCCTTTGCCTTTGTTTATTTTGATCGCTCCCTAAAAGACCGTTTTTGTCCATTTCAGAGTCCTGTCTAAGTCGTCTTTGTTAATTTTTCACGTGAGTTGTGTGGACATTTGTCCCTAGAGAGTAAGAGAAAATGAACCCCCCGCCCCAACCCTCTAGGCGGGGTATGAAGTATTGGCGAGCCGTACTGTTCCCTGGTTATAACCGGTTACGGGATAGGAGCCCGTCAGAGCCCGCTAGATAATTAGTTCCTGATTTCGGGTCCCTCCGGGGTTAGCAGAAATAGTTGGATGTGCTCGGGTTATCCAATGAGCTTCAAATGGAGCTCCTTGGGTTATCTTTCTTCCTTGCTTTCTTCCATTTGGTTGCCGTTCTTATATTTCCTCGCCTTGTTTTGTTGTGAAACGTTATTTTATGAATAATTACCAGACACAGATGTAAGAAGCTGTTTTAATTCTACTTTAAAGTCCACATCTTGATAACATACTGTACAGTACAGCACTTTTAGCGGCTTGAAACACTTTTGATTTTTTAAATGCCTTGGATGGCATATGGTTCCAAGCCATACGATATCGCACGCAATAAGTGGAGGGGGGGGGGTAATTTTGTACGCTATTTAGTGAGGGCCTGCATGGGGGGGGGGGATTACGAATTACGCGAAATTTTCGCCGCCAATTACGAATTACGTTGATTTTTGCGGAGGCTGCGTACGAATTACGAAGTCTAAAAAGGCCTTATTACGCCTTACGAAAAAGGGCATGCAGGCCCTCTTTAGTACACTCCGTTTCCAATATCTGACATCAGATGTGACGCCCGGGTCTTCAGTTTACAAACATCTGAGATTAGGAAAAGGTGGTTGTTTGGTTTGGAGATTTGATGGGCAGTGCCGTGTGAGACGGAGGTCAGACCACCGCTGCCCCTCCTCTACACAAATATGCACGGAAACAGATGGGGGAGAGGGACGGGAGGTTTTAGGCATAACTCTCCAAGCAGATGTTGGTGGGGAAGATTCTGGCATTTCTGCCATATTCTGGCATTTCTGCCATATGCCTCGTTTTCTGTCGTCACTCTGCACCAATAGAGAATTAATAGATACATAGATAGATAGATACATAGATAGATGGGCTTTCTTTTTTGTACTGGTATCTTTTTTTACGCCAGCTAAAGTGAGATAGTCTAAGTAAGTCCGACCCTTATCTGTAAGGGACCCACGGTTTGTATTGTTAAGTACAAAGTGTGTCCTTAATAATACAAAGCAGCATGAGTCGTCATAGCCTGGGTGCCGGACCCACGGCACACTAGGCTCAAAGTTATCCTGTGTGCTCTGTGCCGTGCATGGGTCTCACTCTGGCACCCAGGCTAGAGTCATCATGACTTGATAGATAGCCTGGTTGCCAAACCTTTTTTAGATGCGCTGCCGAGTCTGTTTCGTAACTAGGGTCCTCTTTGATATCCTGGTTATCAATCCTATTTTTGACAAAATATTTATACCAAAACACACAACGGAAGTTCAGGTACTCTGGGGAGCTTTTGAGTCTCTTGTTCAACCCTGTTAAGATGTCGTCTTTTCTCTTGTCACGTGACTTGATGTGATAATTACGTGACAAGAGATCCTATTTTTGCTTTCGATTCTCTTCCATCCTTTGGACGAAGGAGAGAACGGGAGAGACTCGGCAGCTAAAATAGGTTTGGTACCCAGGCTATATACTCTGACTTTGCAAAATTGACAGATTTGCTAATCAGCACAAATACCTTCCCCACCGTGTATTGTAAATCATATGGTGCTGCTTGGTGCATGCTTGCCAGGGGGTCCTAATCTAGCTCTTGATCTCTCCATTGTTTACTAATCTGCGTAGACGAGGAGCAAATCCAGGAAATCCGATAATTTCTATTCTCAGCTGGACGCTTGGTTACGCTAAACCGATTGTAGAATCTGAAAGAATTTGCTAACTGCTCAAGTTTTTTTTTCCATTGTGTGATTAGCTATATGTTTAATGGTTTGGATATCTGACCTACTTAGTGGCATGCTTGAGACTGTGAAAAATGTCAAACGTTTCAATGGATCATCCAGAACGCATTAAGTTTCTTCAAGTTCATTAATGTCGTCAATATGTACAGAACAAAGAGCTGTATATGGCTACATTTCTATAGTATAACTTCCAAACAGCACTAGTTGTACAAGCACTACAACAGGGAGAGTCCAAGTTGGTAGTAGTGTGTTTGTCTGTGTCTCTCTCTGTGATATAAAGTGCTCAGTATGAAAAGCAGCCAATTCCATTGAAGTCAGGTATGACCCGGCCGGGGTTTGTACCCGCGACCTCCCAAATCCAAGACTCTAAAGCTACCCACTAAGATATTGTATGCAGCCAGAGAAAAGATTTTTCGCTTCAGTCAGTCTGCCCCATATTTATAGGAATCCTGTTCTAAAATTAGTCTGTTCTTTCCGACCCTTTCTGTCTAGACGACCCTTCCGACCCCACAAATAAGGAAACTTTTAATACGATGTCGTCATCTTCCCTGGGCCTTCCTTCCGACATTTCGTCCCTTTTATGTCCTCAATCAAACTTCAAAGACACGAAACCCAAGATAGGAAACGATCTATAGATAAGGTCATCTGTAATTTTGTGGTTAATTTTGTGTCAGGGAAGCCTTTAATCTATCAAAGTCATCTTTTGAAAACCTTCCTTACAAAAAAAAAACTTCCAATTTATTTTTTGAAAGTTGACTGTGACAGTCGGCCAAATGCGTTAGTTCTCTTTCCAAGAGAACCTTTTGACACCGATAAAAGTAAATAAGGTTAAAGTGTCATGAAAGTTCATCTTTGTTGGTAGTAATCATAGTTAAACGATGAACTTTATTCCAACAAAAGATTACATAGAGATCAAATTTTCAGCGACCACTGTCGCCTTCATCAGGATAATTAACGATCAATCACTTCAAAATCTCGCGAGAGTTACTGTTACAGACACGTGACCACACGAGACTTTACTGATACGCGACGTGAGCAATTGATCAAAAGTGCCAGGGAGTTTATATCGTCTACCGTCTCGTGAAGGCTAGAGTGCTCTGATATATAGAGCCTCTTTAATGCCTCTTAAAAAGTAGTCCTGTTCAGTGTCCAGTATTCTAACTTTGTCCAAATAGACGGTATGGCCCGGTGATGTGAATGTAAAAAAAAGTAAATTAGGTTAACGATAGCTTCAAATTACATCATGGGGTTGTAGCTTCCTGTATGTTCTCTACTTGAAAAATAACCATGAAAATTAATCGGTCCAAACTTTTTTTATTGCGTCTACCCTTGTTTGGACCCGGGCCCTAGTTTTCCACACTGTAGTCTTTGAAATTTAGAATGTCCATGCTTGTGCTGTTTCCAATTAGTTTGTCTTAGATAAGAAGGGTTGGGGTTATCTTCAAGTTCTATGGCGGGATGCAAGGTTTAAATCCAGCTCGTGAATACATGTACTTAAATAAGATTTTCTGACAAGTACGAATGGTTGTTGACGAATTCCTGACTTGCTTTTGTCTTTTTCTAACCGCCAATGTCCCAAGATGCACCTGTTGCATTACACAGCGCATGCGCTGATAAAAAGGTGTTTTTATGAAAATAACAGCATTACTGCATTCGAATTATGTAGCTTGTTAGCCTGTTACTTGGTAAAGTATTCTCTTTAGTTCTGTAGATTTCCCTGTCATCTAAAGATCTTCTCTTCCTAAGCCCAGTTCTGATCTTCCCAGACAGTTTGACCTAGCCTTGACCCTCTTACTCCAGCTACTATTCTGGAGTCTATCATGCCCACTGTAGTCCAAATTGTAACCAGATTTCAACATCGGCATCACGTGCACCAGCTATGAGTCAGCTATGACTCACACGTCAATGTCGATCTTTCTGGCCAAGTGTACTTTGTCCACGAAGGAAAGACAGACACAATTGAATTTGAAATTCCGAAAGTGCTTTGCCATACAGGTTAACGTTACAGTGCTACATCTTTATAAATCATTGCTTGCTGCATCCGTTGGTTGTTGTTAATTTTTTTTAACGATAGCCTGTTATGTTTACCGAAGGGAAACATATTGTTTTTGCTCAATTACTTCTTCTTCTTCTCCAGTGACCTCAGACCTGAACCAATGTTGTGTCTGTTGCCATGGTAACAGATGTTGGGTTACATCATGTTGCAATTTCATAGCAGGGGGGATTTAGACTCCTGTCATCAGACCATATATATGAATGTGTTTGAGTAAGAATTAACAGAGCAGACCATATGCGAATTTGCCTTGCAAATGTTACATTTCTTGTTTGTGATAGCTAATGGCTCTTGATGCTAATAGCTCCTTTATACGAATATCTTCTTTATACTCTTTCCACAAAGCAAAGTTCAAAGACAACCGTCAGTCAGCTAGGTCCGCCCCCCTCCCCACCCCTACTGAAACCTGTTTTACCTTGTACTTCATAACACAACCTCTCCCGTCGTCTGTTGTAAACGACCATCCATCAGACCTACCCAGAGCCGGGGATAAACAAGATCGGCACGGTTTTGTGTTGATGGAACCATGAGAGGGTGTTTTTGAGGGCGAGGTTCACGGACAGGCTACATGTATCTACTTTCTGTCTTCTGTCATACTTTGGGCGATGTTCCAGGTTATGAGAAAGACCTCGATGGCACCAGATGAACTTCAACTTCTTAGTGTCATAATTACTTAGGCTCTAGTTTAACATGCTGGTCAGTTTGGTGTTCAATTGTAATCAACTAGCATCTCTG